AAGAGCGCGCATCATGAGCATCAGCGGGTTGGGTTTTGGGTTTCGGATGCGGCTGAGAGCTTGGAAAACACAGAAATCGCTGTAAATACCGTGGTTTTCGTGCTGTTACGGACATTTCCGTTTTGAGGCCGGCATATGCCCCTATAAGCCTGGAGGCCGGAGCCGCTGATGCTCATGATGCGCGGCCGGGCGGGGGGCCAGGGTGCGCATCATCGAGGCTTCGTTTCTCTTTGCAAGCGAGCATCAGCAGCATCAGCGGCTCCGGAAAGGGTTTTGGGCGGCAGGATTTCGAAGGATGCTGGCATAACTCCATAACATGGCACTCGACATGCCCCTCACAGCTAAAGCTAGGGCTGGCGCCTAGCGGCGTCGGACCACGGGCGTGCCCGGATTTAAGAGCCTCCGGCTCAAGCCGCCGACCCTGCTGGAGCATAGTTGAAAGGTTTAAACGCGTTTGTTAGGTCAAAGGATGCCAAAGTTGGTGGGGGGGGAGGGTGGTAGGGCGGTAGGTAGGGGGGGTGGGGGGGGGGGTGGGGGGGGGGGGTGGGAGTGTGGGGGGGGGGTGGGGGGGGTGGGGGGGAGGGGTGGGGGGGGGGGTGGGTTGGGGGGGGGGGGGGGGGGTGTTGGGGGGGGTGTGGGGGGGGGGGTGGTAGGGGGGTTCGGGTTGTCGGGGGGTGGGGGGGGGGTTACACAAATGGCCTTATGTCCTGGCCGAAACCGCTCTGCTCCGTGGTTTATGCCGTGTGGGACGGGGACCCCCCCCCTACCCCCCCCCCCCCCCCTTCCCAGCCAAAAGCACGCCGCCAGGGTCGGCGGACCCTAAACCTTAAACCCTAAACCCTAAACCCTAAACCCTAAACCCTAAACCCTAAACCCTGAACCCTAAACAGGAGCATGGTCTGAAGCACAAGAAAGGGCGGGGTGTTAAGCGGCCCTCAGAGGGTGCGGGTGAATGCCAGGGGCTTCGTATTTGGGGGTTTCCGATCATAGGGGCACCCTTTTTAGGGACCCCTTTACGGGGATTGTCTTGTATTTGGGTCGAAAATGGGTACCCGGTACAACGATTTTGGGAAATACCCAAGGGGGGTTTACGATATTAGGGGTACCTTATTGGGATCCTTATTGTGAGGGAATCCTACTATTTGGGGGTTCCGTATTTTGGGAAATGCCCATTTCTGGCTGAAAGGGCTCCGCTGCAGGGTGAGATGTTGAAGGGGACTGGGATCCTTGAGCGCGGAACCCTCAAGATGGGTTTAGGGTTTAGGGCTTCAGGCTTCAGGGTTTAGGGTTTAGGGTTTAGGGTTTAGGGTTTAGGGCTTAGGGGTTTAGGGCTTTAGGGCTTTAGGGCTTTAGGGTTTAGGGTTTGAGGGTTTAGGGTTTAGGGCTTAGGGCTTTAAGGTTTAGGGTTTTGGGTTTAGGGTTTAGGGTTTGAGGGCTGACCCCTCAAGCCGAGCCGCGCTCGATGCCAGGTGAGATTCTTCGATGGCTTGGTCCCAAAGCAGGAGCGCCATTTGCCTTGCGCCGTGGGGGGTCCTGTTTTCATGGGGTTTACGACCCCCCCGTCTCTACCGTAGGGTTTAGGGTTTAGGGTTTAGGGTTTAGGGTTGAGGGTTTGGGGTTTGGGGGTTAGGGTTTGCTGCAGTATGGCGTACAAGCTGTAAATCCAAACCTATTCCTTTTAGGGTTTAGACCTAAACTCAAGCCAATCGCCCACTTCCAAAAACTTCTTCCGTTCCAGGGCATCTCGTGTCCCAGACGGGGTTTTCAGGGGGTCCCAGGACCAGAGGCGCCAGCAGGGCAGAGAGGGGTTTAGGGTTTAGGGTTTAGGGTTTAGGGTTTAGGGGGTCGATCAGGAAGTCCCAAGAATTCCCAAAAGGTCCCAAAAGGTCCCAGGCGTCCCGGAAGTGGCCGGTGGGCAGCCAAAAACGAACAAAATTGAGCACCCGCCCCTGCCTGGTTCCTGGGCACGCTGCGGCGCCCGGCTCCTCCTGAAGCTTGGCTTTTGGGGTATTTCTGCATTAAGGGTCCCGGGGAGAACCTGCTCCGGCACCGGGCCCATCGTGGGCGCTACCGACCTCCGAGCTGAGGAGACGGGCAAGCGACCTGGATCGACTTTCGCCATAGAAGTCGAAGGGCTTAAGCGCCGCCCCCCGCTCTGTAGGGGGGCGGCCTAGGCCCTGTGTTTAGGGTCGGGTTTAGGGTTAGGGCTACCCCTTTGGGGGGGGAGTATAGAGGGGGGTAGTCCACCTTGACCGGGTTCGGCGTCGGTAGCCAACCCGCAAACCCTGAACCCAATAGACCCTGTAAACCCTGAAAAACCCTGTAAACCCTAAGTAATCCTAAGTAACTTTAATAGCCCTACAAACCCTGTAAAACCTAAAAAGCACCCTATAAACCCTATGAAACCCTTTATACCGCAAGCAACCCTGTGAACCCCAAGTAGCCCTATGAAGTAGCCCTATGAACTGCCTATGAACCCTAAAAGCCCAATGAAACCCTATAAGCCCTACAAACCCTAAGGACACTATGAACCTTATAAGCCCTATAAAAGCCTGTAAACCCAATAAACCCTAAGCCGCCCTACGAAACCCAATGGGCCCTATACACCCTATGAAACCCTATAAGCCCCATGAAATCCAATGAACCCTGTAAGCCTTATGAGAGCCTATGACTAAGCAACTCAATGAACCCTATAAACCCTCAGTAACCCTATGAACCCTCTAAGCCCTATGACACCCTATAAGCCCCATAACCCCTATAAACCCCATAAGCCCAAATAGCCCTTCAAACCCTCTAAACCCCATATAGTACCCCTAAACCCTAAACCCTAAACCCTACAACCCCCATATGAAACCCTAGAAGCCTGATAAACCCTAAACTGCAGACATACGCCAACATGTCGGAGATCAAGTTCGGGCTGGCCATGCTTGCGCCTTGCCCTTCACGAAGTAGGGTTTAGGGTTTAGGGTTTAGGGTTTAGGGTTTAGGGTTTAGGGTTTAGGGTTTAGGGGTACTTCTGAGTGGGGTCGTAAGTGCCCTAAAATAGGTTACCTGTAGCCCTACAAGTACCCGAGTGAACCTCCAAGTTCTGGCTTCTCGGTTCAGCTGTCTAGGGTTTAGGGTTTAGGGTTTAGGGTTTAGGGTTTAGGGTTTAGGGTTCTAGGGAGTTCACATTCATTGCTCATTCGATCTTTTCTGGCCAGAGGTATACAGTTCTCTATTCTTTATGGGGTTTTCGTAGGGTTGTTATGGGGTTTATAGGGCTCTATCGATGGGGGAGCATCCCAATGTGCACCTAAACCCTAAACCTTTAAACCCTGAAACCCTAAACCCTAAACCCGCAAACCCTACACAAACCGGAAAGGCCTGCGAACCAATGACCAGGTACTGGAGGCAGCCGATGTCGTCGTTTTTGCAGTTTTCCGGCCCAGGCTTCGCACCCAAGCATGAATAGGGTTTAGGGTTTAGGGTTTAGGGTTAAGGGGTTGAGGGTTTAGGGGTTTAGGGTTTAGGGTTTAGAGGTTTAGGGTTTAGGGTTTAGGGGGTTCGGGGCTGCTTGGAACTGCACACAACCCTGAACGGCTTGTCTTGCGTCGATGATGTCATCCAGGGACTATGGAGATGGCATGAACCCTAAACCCTAAACCCTAAACCCTAAACCCTAAACCCTAAACCCTAAACCCTAAACCCTAAACCCTAAACCCTAAACCCTAAACCCTAAACCCCTAGACCCCTAAACCCCTAAACCCCTAAGCCCCAAACCCGAAACCCTAGTCCCATTTCTCTGAGATTCCGCCTGGCCTTCCTGGCACGAACTGGGTACCTCTGCCTCCTGCCAGCCGTTCGGGCCTCAGGTTCTCGCGTCACGCTAGACCTAAACCCTAAACCCTAAACCCTAAACCCTAAACCCTAAACCCTAAACCCTAAACCCTAAACCCTAAACCCTAAACCCTAAACCCTAAACCCTCAACCCTAAACCCTAAACCCTAAACCCTAAACCCTAAACTCTAAACCCTAAACCCTAAACCTCAGAGGAGCCCTGCCTCTTTGCGCGGACATACGCCTCCAATAGACACAGTCGCCGCGAACCTTCCTTCTTGCTTACACACCCCAAAACCTTAAACCCCCAAACCCTAAAACCCTAAACCTCCAAACCCTAAACCCTAAACCCCAAACCCAAACCCCAAACCCCAAACCCCCAAACCCCAAACCCTAAAACCCTAAACCTCCAAACCCTAAACCCCAAACCCCAAACCCCAAACCCCCAAACCCCCAACCCCCAAACCCCCAAACCCTAAAACCCTAAACCTCCAAACCCTAAACCCCAAACCCCAAACCCCAAACCCCAAACCCCAAACCCCCAAACCCCCAAACCCCAAACCCCCAAACCCCCAAAGCCCCCAAACCCCCAAAGACCCCAAACCCCAAACCCTTATCGCCCAACCTGAAACCCTCAACCCCACCCATGAGTGCACCCCCATCGAGGTCAAGGAGTTGGTGCGCTGTGTGGTGGCCTGCCTGCCAGGAGCTGAGGGGTCGACTTTTTTCGGGGCGCTTCCCTCTCTCAGAGAGGGTTCTTACTGGGGGGGGTTTAGGGTTTATAAACCCTAAACCCTAAACCCTAAACCCCAAACCCTAAACCCTAAACCCTAAACCCCAAACCCTAAACCCTAAACCCTAAACTTTAGCTTCTAAGGGAGGGAGGTTCATGGGGGGTTTGGGTACCTGGCAAACCTTAGGGAAGCTTAGAGGGAGCCTTGCAGAGGAGCGGGGAGTGTTCGGGAACCTTGGGTTACATACTACCTTGAACCCCCTCCCTTAAGAACCCAGCAAAGCCCTCTCCGAAACCAAGGGCATTGAAGCCTCAACCCTGAATGTCTTTAGCTACCCCGCTTAAGTGCCACAGCTAGAACTAGGGAACGGAGGTTCCTAAAATTCCCCGATGGAACCCGTTCAGGGCTTGGATCGGAGCCCTCGAACCTCTTGCAGCAAGGTGGGAGATGGTCTCCGTGGCTGTCTTCTTGGCAGGCGGGTGGAGAGCCGCGGGAAAGTTCCCCATTTAAGGCGTCATGGGCTCTGAAGGCTTGATTGGAGCCTTCCAAGCTCCTTCGTGTTCCGCGTCGTAGTCGTAGTTTAGGGTTTAGGGTTTAGGGTTTAGGGTTTAGGGTTTAGGGTTTAGGGTTTAGGGTTTAGGGTTTAGGGTTTAGGGTTGCAAATTCCTAAGCCCCAAGCTTAGGTCCCCTCAGCAAGAGTGCAGATGACCTAAACCCTAAACCCTAAACCCTAAACCCTAAACCCTAAACCCTAAACCCTAAACCCTAAACCCTAAACCCTGATGACGGGAGGGACCATGGTGTTCTTCGCCTGGATCGCGGTGACAGTCTTCAAAGACCTCGACCATGGGAACGAGGCGCAGCCTCTGCTTCCGTGCCGAGGGAGCCTTGAGCAGTTTAGGGCTTACCCTAAACCCTAAACCCTAAACCCTAAACCCTGAACCCTAAAACCTGAAACCTCAAACCTAAAACCTAAACCCTGAACCCTAGACCCTAGACCCTAAAAACCCTAAACTTAGGGTTTGAGTTCCTAGGGATGGTTTACGAGGCTTTTGGGAGACGGACTCAGGCTTAAGGGTCGTGCCGGCTACGTAAATATGGTGGCCTGGCCTGGTTCGATTTGTTTCTTTTGGGTGTTTTGGAGGGGGTCCTAAACCCTAAACGCTAAACCCTAAACCCTAAACCCTAAACCCTAACCCCTAAACCCTACACCCTAAACCCTAAACCCTAAACCCTAAACCCTAAACCCTAAACCCTAATGCCGTTGCGTCCTTGTCATGGGCTCCTCGAGAGGAGTCGCGAGCGTCACGCTCCTATCTCGGCCAGGGGTTCGTTTGCGAAACAACTCGTTTCGACAACCGCGGGCCCTCAACCAATTTGCATCGCATTTTTGATTAAGAATACCAAGGTCTCTGCTAATCCCAACAACCTAGGAAGAACTGCAGATCACGCTGCGTTTGTAGAACTCAAAGATGGTGATCCGTCGGTTTGAGCATGCAGGGCTTTAGGGTTTAGGGTTTAGAGTTTAGGGTTCAGGGTTTAGAGGTCAGGGTTTAGGGTTTTAGGGTTTAGGGTAGTTTAGGGTTTAGGGTTCAGGGTTTAGGAGGGAACAAGTCCCCACGACCTCGTACTTGGCTTCTGAACGATTGTCGGAGTGCTGTCGAAATTGGCTGGCCTCGACTGGGGCCTGGCTCTTGTGGTTGGGGCTTTGGGGCCAATCAGGTTTAGGGTTTTGGAGGTTTCGGATTTACTTACTCCCTTCATTCCCTGCTAAGAACAGAACCCCCTCCACGAAATTCAACCACCAAATCCCATACGCCAGGGCTTTACGTCCCTCAAAGAATCGATGAACTCGATGTTCATCGCTGGAGTTCGGTCCTCAGGAGCTTGACGGGGCAGGTTTCAGGGTTCAGGATTTAGGGTTCAGGGTTTAGAGGCTTAGGGCTTAGGGTTCAGGGTGTAAGGCCTCGGGTTTCCGGGTTCAGGTTTCAGGAAGCTCAGGGTTTAGTTTAGGGTTTCCAGGCTGCGCCTGAGTACTTTGGGGATTTCGGGAGAAAGGGTACAGGCATTAAGGTCCTCCAAAGGCAAAACCCAAAAGACAACCCTAAAAATCCCAAGAAATTCAAAACAACACCCCCAAATCCAATAAAAACCCGAAACTTAGGGTTTAGGGTTTAGGGTTTAGGGTTTTAGGGTTTTAGGGCTTAGGGTTTAGGGTTTAGGGTTTAGGAACCAAAAACACCCGCCAAGAACCCTCCCCCCAAAACAGCAAGCACCCGAAAAAAACCTTAGAGCTACAGTCCCGAGGTCTGGTAAATCTTGTCAAAGAGGCCCAGAAACTCCCTAAACCCTAAACCCTAAACCCTAAACCCTAAACCCTAAACCCTAAACCCTAAACCCTAAACCCTAAACCCTAAACCCTAAACCCTAAACCCTAAACCCTAAACCCTAAACCCTAAACCCTAAACCCGAAACCCTAAACCCTAAACCCTAAACCTTAAACCCTAAACCCTATAAACCAAACCCCTAAACCCTAAACCCCACACAGCCACCCCCCAAATCTGCCGGGCGTCAGGTGTCAGACGAGTTTGTCAGCGTGTTTCTCAAGCCCGGGGCCCGAGAGGTTGCGCTTTTGGGGTTTAGGGTTTGGGGTTTAGGGTTTAGGGTTTGGGGTTTAGGGTTTGGGGTTTAGGGTTTATTGTTTGGGTTTAGGGTTTGGGGGTTCAGGGCTCAGGGTTTAGGGTTTAGGATCCTATCTACCCCCGCTTTCTGAGGAGTTGGAGGGCGGTTCTGGATTAGAGCCTCGCCATTTTGTTTTTGTGGGGGGGGGGGACTTTTGAGCAACAGCTATGTGCAGTATTCTTCTGCAGTCTCTAGCAAGCCCAAGAGACCCTAAACCCGAAAGGTCGGGGTAGATGGGATCCTCAAGCCCACGCCCTAAACCCTGAAACCCTCAACCCTTGAAACCCTCAACCCTAGAAACTCTAGACCCCGAAACCCTGAACCCTGAAACCCAAACATATGGGTTTCCTTGGTAGCTGACTTCTACCCTTTTGCCCTTTGTGGGTTCTGGGTTCCCCAAACCCCTTAAACCCTTAAACCCGTAAACCCACCCTGAAACCCTGAAACCCTGAAACCCTGAAACCCTAAACCCTAAACCCTAAACCCTAAACCCTAAACCCTAAACCCTAAACCCTAAACCCTAAACCCTAAACCCCGAAACCCTGAAACCCGAAACCCTGGGTTTCAGAGGTCCTACACGGCCTATCGCTACGTGGGCGTGGCGGGCCAAGACTCTCCTGGCTGGTCCTTAGTAGGGAATGAGGGAAGGAGGGCCCTATATGTACCCTTTAAAGGATTAGGGTTCAGGGTCTAGGGTTATATAATCCCTTAAAGGGTATATATAGGGCCCTGAATCCCTCACTCCCTACTAAGAACCAGGGTGTCTCTCGAACATGGGAGTTTGGGGCGGGGGTTTGGGTTTGGGGTTTAGGGTTTAGGGTTTAGGGTTTAGGGGTTTAGGGTTTGTTGAGTTTCTTTGTGTTTGTTTGTTTCTGTGTTTTTTTTTGGTGTTTTTCGTGTTTGAAATGTTTATCTTGAGGTGTTAAAGGTCTTCAGGGTCTTTATCTAGTCTTCATTATTTGTTTATTTTTGTTTTCGATTTTCATTTTGTGTGTTTTATCCCTGTGTAGGGTGTTTGGGAGGATTAGGGTTTTTTTTGAGGGCTTTGTGTTTTTGGTGTTTTAGACTGTTGGAGTTTGTAAGGTTGGGGGCATCCGAATAAGGTCCTGTGAGCCTCGCGTGCAAGGGAACAGCACAAGAACTGTCGGCATGGCAGTCGTCCAGTCAGCTGTTGTTAGCCCAGGACAAGAAGACCCCCTTAGAATCGTAAACGCCCCAAAACCCGAAAGCCTAAAACCCTGAACCTTGAGCCCTATAAACCCTAGACTCTAAACCCTATAAACCCTCAAGCCCTAAACAAAGATGACAAGCTGCAGAAGCAATTAGTCACAGAACTCGCAAATTGTGAGCCCAAAGCCTTAGATCCTAAGCCCTAAACCCTAAACCTTAAACCTGAGACCCTAAACCCCTAAACCCTAAACCCTAAACCCTAACCCTAAGCCAACAACCACCCATGGTTGAGCCTTCCGGCTGTTGAGATTTTGTGGCTGATCTTCCTCGTGATCGCCCATGTGCTGCTCCTCAGTTTAGCAGGACCCCCAGTGCCTCCATGTAGGGCTTAGCAGTTCGGGCTTAGGGGTTGGGGTTTAGGGTTTAGGGTTTAGGGTTTAGAATGCAGGGTTCAGGATTTAGGGTTTAGGATGTAGGGTTCAGGTTAGGTTCAGGTTCAGGGTTCAGGATTCAGGATTCAGGGTTCAGGTTTTAGGTTTTAGGGTTTAGGGAGCATATGGACTGCTAGGGCTCTTCCTAGCAGAACTGAGCACAAGGAGCAAGCATTGCAGCCTGTGAGTTGGTGCAAAAACGGCGTCTGTTCCCGTCCAAGGTTCTCGACACGCTCTGCCCGCGCCCTAAGAATGGGTTTAGGGTTTAGGGTTTAGGGTTTAGGGTTGCTTTCAGCTGTGTCAAGGTTGGTTGAAGGGTCGTGGAGTGAGTCGGCAGTTCTCAAATGATGGTCCTGTTTTGGGTGCCCTTATGATTAAGGGCCGCCGTGCCCTTGTTATTGGGGGCCGCCTTATCATAGCGACCCAAAAGGGACCATAATGTAGAGAAGTGATCAGTTGTTGGCTGTTGGCCTGGAGCTTAAGCTGTTGTGTCAACTGCCTGGACATGTTTCGGACGCTTTGCGTTTGCCGAACATTGAAAGTTTCTGGAAAACAACAACGTTAGAAGTGGCTATAACCATCTCCTTACAACAACCCTGCTTATGAGAGCACGATAATGAACCTTCAAGTAGACCCTAAACCCCAAACCCTGTAACCCCAAACCCTAAGCCCTAAACCCTAAACCCTAAACCCTAAACCCCAAACCCTAAACCCCAAACCCTAAGCCCGCAAGCCCTTAAGCCCGAGATCCGATGGAGAGCCGACAGAGGTTTACCCCAAACCCTAAACCCTAAACCCTAAACCCTAAACCCTAAACCCTAAACCCTAAACCCTAAACCCTAAACCCTAAACCCTAAACCCTAAACCCTAAACCCTAAACCCTAAACACTAAACCCTAAACACTAAACACTAAAACCTAAACCCTAAACCCTAAACCCTAAACCCTAAACCCTAAACCCTAAACCCTAAACCCTAAACCCTAAACCCTAAACCCTAAACCCTAAACCCTAAACCCTAAACCCTAAACCCTAAACCCTAAACCCTAAACCCTAAACCGGTTCGGAGGTGCGGCTTACATGTCCTACTCTGAGCAGCGCACGGAGGCAGAGCCAGGGCGGTTCTTGTTTGGGGGTTTCGGGGCTGAGGGGCTCAGGGTTTTAGGGGCTTAGGGGTTTAGGGGTTTAGGGGTTTAGGGTTTAGGGTTTAGGGGTTTAGGGTTTAGGGTTGAGGGGCTTAGGGTTTTAGGGGCTTAGGGGTTTAGGGGTTTAGGGTTGAG